CGGGCGGCGCTTGAGGCGCGTCGAGGCAGACAATTGCGGGCGCCGGCTCCCCTCCCCCTAGAGAGCGCTCGGGCTGTCCTCAGGCCAGGGGCGGGCCCCTGCCGATTGGCACGCGACGTCCCCCCCGCGCTGCGGGCGCGGTCGCACCAGCGGCGTGCCCCTTCCAAGGCCCAGCTCCCCAGTGACCCGATGGAACAGCAGCAGCTCCTTGTCAGGGCCATAGTGCGCAAATGCATTCAGCCACCAATTGCCCTGCGCGGGGCGGGCGAGGAAGCGGTGGAGGGGTGCCTTGAGGGCACGCGACCTGCGGCCTCTCAAGCCGCGGCCCCGGGGGCGTTTTCGCGCGCGCGTGCGGCGGGGGCGGAGGGGTGCGTGCGCGTGGCCGGGCCGGGGGCGGGGCGTGGGTGCGTGCGTCCCCATGACTGGGCCGGGGTCGGCAGGTGCCCCGCTCGCCTGCTTATTCATTTGCTCCTTCCCGGGAGTCCACCCGAGGTTTGCCAGGTTTGTAAAGAGCCCCGCGGGGGGTACGTTCAGCTGAGACGCACGGCGGCAGGGGGCGATACGGGGTTGGGGGCGTTGGCGGGGGCAAGGAAGGCAGTCTGTGGGGGCAGCCGCAGAGCGTGCGTCGCGGGCGCGGCGCGACTGCGGTGGGGCGGGAGACCGAGGGGGGGCGGCGCTGAGCTGGCTCGGGGTGGGGCGTGCGTGTGGACGCGCGAGGGCCCCACCCTGCTGGGTGGTCTGCGCCGGCCCGATGCTGCCGGTCGTCTGCATCCATGATCCACGGTTCATGCCCTCAACCCTAACCCGCAACCCCGCACCTGGTGGTAGAGGTGGGCCTTTCCAGCCATGGCAAAGCCCAGGCCATAGGTGTCCTGAGGAGGGGGTTTATGATCGCAACAGCAGATGAAGTCAAGGCACGGATTCGGGTCATCACGATCTCTATGTGATCATCGGTTTCTATTGCTGTGATGATCTAACCGGGTGGTTTTTTGTGCCAACCCAATGAATCACCGATTGGAAGATCAGCGCGACATGATAGGCTGATTCAGGCCTTGCCTTTGTCTATCCCTCCAATCACCCATGCCGAGTGTGGCTTTCATGGGTTAATCAGGCGACACGTCTGATTGTATCGAGTAGACTTCCATGACCAGGGCAGCTAAGTGCTGGTTGGTTGTTTGGATCCAAACAGCGGGCCTCAAAAAAGCAGGCAGCCTTCACACAAGCACCTCTGCAAGTCACATCCCAGGAGAGCCAGATGCAAAGCAGCTGTCACGCGCATGTATTGCGAGTGGAGCCGCCCGCAGGCAGTCCGGCAGTCCGCAGCTGCACACAGTCCGCGGTCTGCGCCGCACCTTGTCGCCGTACATGAACTCATAAATGTGCTTGGCACCAAAGGCGTTGAGGAACCACACCCACTCCAGCGTGTCTGGATGTGTGTGGAAATGTGTGTGTGTGTGTGTTTGTGTGTGCACGCGAGCACACGGTGCTTGCTGGTGGGTGGATGGGGGCAGCGAGCACCCGCGTTTCCGCGGCGGAGGTGGCGTGCAGGGCAGAGACAGGGCGACCCGAGCCTCCAGCCATGCCGCCCCCACGCCACCCAATGGGGACGCGAGAAGGCTCTCCACACCCGCCCCCACCTCACACAATTTGAC